GAGGGAAGAGATGCTGGAGATTCATGCACAAGCGAGAGACAATCTTTCCGGTTTGGTGACAAACAGTGCATATGGAGGCACTCAGGAATTAGAAAAATGAAGGGTGGCTTTGTTTCCTTCCTCACTGCAACCACTGTCAGAAAGCTGGAAAATCTTAATCATGCCTTAAAAGAAAGAACCTGAGAACATCCCAAAGATGACAAAAGTTCTCCAAACCCAACACAGATGACATTATTTCTCCAATTTTTAAGAAGTTGGAGCTTTCTCATGCTTTTTACTCTTGCTAGCCTGAGTCTTACAGGTGGGTTGGCAGGAAGCACTTCTCTAAGGTGATTTGGTGAGGAGAGGGTGCAGCGAGGGGCAAGAAGACAAGGGACACAGCAGGGTGGGATGCAGTCCTAACTGGCATGGTTGGCCTCAAGAGCATTTCCTGGCAGGCTCCACAGACAGGTTTGGTTTTTAGAAGTGCCAGAAAGCCATAGATTTGCATGTTATTTGTGTTCCAGGCTTCACTTCCAGGTATGTGGAATGAAATAAATGAATGAATAGTATTCAGACTCCTGGTTAAGGGGCGGGCTTAGAAATCCAGGCTACACTAAAGATCCAATCACTGCCCCAGCTTGGATCAGGAGACGTGGACACAGAGAGACAGAACAAACAGTGACAGAGACAGAGAGACAGTCTCAGAGACAAACGAGTACTTTTTACCAAGGAGTTTCCAGTCAAAGCAAGGAAGCAAGATCTGCATTTATTTTAAATGAAACAAGTTTTTAAAAACCAGGGCAAGTCACACATGGGCAGAGAAAAGCAGCTTCATCTGTGACTTAGTGCCACCTCTGCTCCCACACTCTCCCCTCCCAGCTTCATTTGGAACCAGGTGCCAGTCTCCTCTCTGATGAGCATGCTCACAAGCATATGTATAATGCTTGGTGTCTGCTTAGGCTACAAGTCAGGAAAACTGTAAGTGGCACAGAATATAAGACGCTGAGGACAAAGGTCAACAGGCTGACAGTGAACACAAGGTGCTTTTTATTTTCTTAGTCAGACTGTCCCTTCACTGCACCCTTCAGAACCCCCAAGCTCAGTGCTCAGACATGTTTATGAAAGCACCTAAAGGGGTTTCCCTGTTTCAAGTAAGGAAAGCTTCCCTGTACCAGGGATTGAACCCGGGGCCTTTGCTCTAAGCTATGTCCCAGCCCTTTAAAAAATGTTTTCATTTTGGGATAGAATCTAACTTGCTAAGTTTTTCAAGCCAGGCTCAAATTTGCAACCCTCCTGCCTCAGTCTTCCAGGGTCCCAGAATTATAGGTGTGCACACCCCACACCCAGTTATAGCAAGTACTTTAAAAGAGCAAGACAGCGGTTCGGTGGCCTGCCTTGCAAGTGCAAGGACCCGAGTTCAATCCCTGGTACCAAAAATAAATAAATAAATAAATAAATAAATAAATAAATAAATAAATAAATAAATAATAAAAGGGCAAGACAGGAACCCAGAGTTTCTGTGATGTAAAGTATCATTGCAATAAAAAGGAAAGAAAAAAGTTAAAAAGATGTGTGATTAAAAAAAAAATACTGTTACAGCCTCTTATGAGAAACCCTGAAAGCCCAGACAGGCATACTAACCTTGAGGAAGGGGTTTTTCTCAGGCTGAGTGGGTCACTGGGTGGGAGACTACAATGAACTGTTTGGAACCACAAAGGAAGCTGCAGGCTACCACGAGCAGTCCTTCATCCTCCTACCTCTCCAAAGTCCTCTAAATCAACAGGTAATATGGAGTGACTCCTGTTTCACCCCTGGTAGGCCAGAAAGCAGACAGCCGGCACTCCTGGTGTGAAAAGAAGCACCAGCTCACTCACCTACCCTTAGCATATCTAGGAAGTCTAGTCCATTTCTGACTGGAATGGGGCCAGTACAAACACCACACAGGGCTGTATCATCTCCTGATTGTAAGAACTGTAGATGTCCAGATGAGATTTGGTGACCAGGGAATGCTGCAAGGAGATGGAATTTGGTGTGTGCTCAGCAGGTATTTGTGAAAAGGAGAGACGCATTGAGGGTTGCCAGCAAAGTGGACTCTACTCTTTATGTGTCATTCTCCTATACACTTGTGTCCTAAGGTGACCTCCAGAAGTCTAGTAACAGACAGCTGCTCTTCAGCTTACAAGGGAGAAGTTTGCAGTTAGGATCTCATGCATTTAGTCAAGGCTCTGGTGTAGGCTTCAGCTCTAAAACCAACCCAGTATTAACACCGGCCTCAAATTTTAACTTGAATCTCTACCTTGACAGTTTTCTACTCCCAGCAGTATGAGTTTTTAATTCTATTCCAGAATATTAGTTTGACAAGACCCTGCGCATCTGGTCCAACCACTCACACAACCGGAATTATCCCCGTCATCTCCCTGACAGGACAGACAGGCAGCACTACTCCCTAAAGATTCATCTTTTGAGCTGAGTCTCCTGGTTTCTCCTTTTCTGCCACAAGGATGTATGTGTAAGCACTTCCTTATTTTAATGTGACATTTCCCTTTTCATCATCACAGCTAGGAATAGCAATTATGAGTTCTTCAGACAGTTGTTACAGTTCAACATAAGGAAAAATAAGGACAGATGGTGAGCTGGGCCTTACATGTCCCTTCCCAAATTTTGGGGTGAATGTGACACTGCAGGCACCCTGCTCCTGGGCAGGGAAATACGGCACCCAGGATCTCAGCATGTAATCTAAGTTAACAAGGTCCCGAGTAGAAAGCTCCTTTTCTGGCTTGCTTGGGCATGTAATCTTCTGGACAGAAAGCACCTTGCTCTATCTTGCCTTCACCCATCCAGGAGCAAAGAAAAAGAGGAACCCAAGTCAGTCATCTCTCTTACTCTGACAAGACCTATTTTAAGAGCTGAGCAGATGGCACAGACCAGAGGCTGACATTAGAAACACTGGGTTTTTTAATGAACCCTTTCCCTACCAACTCGTCTGTGAGCTGGGGTTGGTGGAAGTGTTTCTCTAGTTACCTGTGTCTACCACAGGAACCTACACTTGCAGCTAACAGTGCTGGGGACAGCGGGTAGAAGATGCTGGTAGGACTACAGTGCTAAAGAAAACAGAAGTTGCTTCCACATAGAAGTATGAGGAACCTTGTATACAGAGGAGTGAACTGATACATCTCTAGGCTGGGAGAGGAAAGTACTCTTTTGTTCCAATTCTACACAGGACTTCTGGGAGCAACAGTCCTAGGTGACAAATGGGATAAAACTAGCCTCTATGCCTAACATTATGTCTTCAAATGGGCAGCTAAAGTCTGATTTTTCCACGGATGATTGCTGAGACTAGTTTCTGTGGAAGGCTGGCTTGGCATCCAGTGCTTATGATCATTCCAATATTCCTCTTTTAGGGGAGGCAGATAATTATGTGACCATGAGGATAGGGTAAGAAAGGAGAAAAGGAAAGCAACAGGCTTAGTTCAAAGTAGATTAAATAATATATTGATAACATGCCCAAGGCCATGAATGCAGAAACATCTTTTTTCAGTACTGGTCATCAAATCCCACCCTGGTCTTAGTCTTAGCTGAACAGCTCCCTGAAGAGAATGGCCCACTGTGTAAGTCTATACTTGCTTCCCATTAAGCCACCACAGGCCAGTTTGGCCCACTTCTACCAGGTCTGGTATGTAGTGTAGCCTCAGGATCTCTAATTTCTACCTTGTACAAAACTGAATTGGAGAAATGGGGGCCCAGGCCAGACAGGCTCAACAATTCCTTATATATTTTGCAAAGTGCTTTTGTATGCTTCATTTTCTGCTATACATGGCAATAAATATTTGTTGCTTTGGTCTGTACAAAAAGTTTTTGAGGAAGATAAGACATGTTATGTAAATGAACAAACAATAAATAAATACAGAGAACTATCTTGTTATGAGCCCCCAGACAATAGTATGAAAGCCTGGAAAATTCAAGTCTTTTGATTCATAGTCCAAATCTATACCATACTGCCACCTTTCAAGTTGTCATTTAAATACAGAAAGTACCAAGAATCAGACAATACTCCAGGAGTCCTACAGTGAGTCTGCATGGCATAGCTTTCTAAGAGAATGTGAAAAGTCACAGCAACTCACATATAGAAAGCTATTTATTTCCTATAGGAAAGGGAGAGGAAGAGGGAGAGAAAGAGAGGAGAGGGAGGGAGGAGGGAGGAAAGGAGGGAGGGGGAAGGGGGGAGAGAAAGAAAGGGTTGGGGGAAGAGTAGGGGAAGGGAAGAAAGCAAACACATAAAGGTAGTCTTCCCCCAAAAGGCAGGCAGCTATGAAAAAGGTAGGACAACTGGTTGCTGGAGTGGAAACAGTAACATTCAGTTAACAATGGAATATTTAAAAAAAATAGTTTTCTTTTCAAATTGTAACGTGGTAAAACATAGAAAAATGTACTAAACAAGCTTGGTATAAAACAGAGTAAAATTTTCAAATAAGCCCAGGGAGAAAGCACAATGCTGGAAAGGATGGGTACAAGGATAGAGGAGAAAATATTTTATACAAAACTACCTATTACAATACAGAAAAAAGTATAAAATGTTCCCATTTTGGAACTTTAGTATAAAATGACACTGGCATTGGATCATTTCACTATCTAAGCCTTAGGAGCTCTCAAAGGGCGGGGAAGATGCTAGAAAGAACAAAAGGAATAGCAATTTTTAAATCTCAAGTTGATCAGTCGAAACGCCACCCGTTTTCAGCTGAAAATCTTATACCCTTCAATAACATCTACCCCTAAGCCAGTTCACCCAGGCCTCAAAATATTCTGTTAGGAAGTCCACAAACGCCCTACACACAAGGGCTGGGATCTGTGTGCTAGAATTTGGAAAATGAAAATAAATCTACAGGCTAAATGGTGAACACATTCAGTCTTTTTTTTTTTTTTTAAAAAAGCATATCCCT